GGCCCTATACTCTTTTTAATTTACATTAACAATCTTCCAGATATCCTCATATCATAAGGTGGCATTGTTCGCTGATGATATTACCATTAATTCTTGTCACGATAAGAAGCCAACTCCCTCTGATTACTTGCAGGAGGCATCTAAGCTTGAAAAGGATCTAACTTCTGCTACAGCATGGGGCTCACAGTGGCTGGTGAACTTTAATTCAGATAAAACTCAATTTTTTTTAGCCAACCGTTATCGCAATAATTTAGACCTTCCTATATTTATGAACGGTAATGTACTTGATGAGTCTCCTACCCTTCATCTTCTAAGATTAACTCTTACTTGGATCTTTCTTGGAAACCTTATATCAAATCCGTTGCAAAATTAGCATCTGCTAAAGTTGCATATCTTTATCAAGCTCAACACTTTCTTACTCTGGATTTTATCTCTATAAATCTCAAATCCGGCCTTGTATGGAATACTGTTGCCGTATCTGGGGCAAGTCTTCTAATGATGCTCTTTCTCTTTTAGACAAGGTGCAAAAAGGCATTGTAAACATAGTTGGACCTGCTCTTGCAGCCAACCTTCAACCTTTATCACATTATCGTAATGTTGCTTCTCTTTCTCTCAATGTTGCTTCTCTTATATTTATATATATATATATATATATATATATATATATATATATATATATATATATATATATATATATATATATATATATATATATATATATATATATATATATATATAAATTATACATAACATCTACCTAATGAAAATAGACTATGCATTTTAGACCTGACCACACTCAAAGAAAGACATCAGCGCGGAGACTTAATACAGCTTTTTAAAACCAAATCTGGTAAAGAAACTGTTAACTGGCACGACACTCCAAATCTGTTCTGCGCCTCACCATGGTCATAGAAGTCGACTGGTCAAAGAGTTATTTTGATCCATTAAAAATAGAAGTAGCAAATTGAGTTGCCAACAGCTGGAATTGCCTACCAGATATGCTTAAAAATGCTGAAACCTATACATTTTTAAGAACCAGTTCAACATGTTTCAAAAATAACTGCCACAATGCCCCTAAATGCTCTATGCAACATGATAAGGTTACATTGCGATTAACTAACTAACTAACTATATTTATATATATATATATATATATATATATATATATATATATATATATATATATATATATATATATATATATATTATATATATATATATATATATATATATATATATATATATACATTTATATATATATATATATATATATATATATATATATATATATATATATATATATATATATATATATATATATATATATATATATATATATATATATATATATATATATAGGCCTCAGCAGGAGTAACATAACGTAGATGGCGAGCCATGCCAGCTGCTCCTCTAAACAGATTCTTACAAGAGCGTTTGGTTTTTGCACGAGTTATTAATTTAAAAAATTTCTTATTAAACACAAAATTTGGTTTCATACTTGCTACAAGCATATGTTTGTAATGTTAATGTTACAAAAATATATAAATAACAAGTGTCATTTATTGGCCTATCAAAAAAATTTTTAGACATGCATTGTCTTTGGGTTTTCACACTAGATATCCATTTATTAATTTGTTAATAATGTTGTTAAATAAAGTATATGTTATTACATTACTTATTTGATAAAAAACTTGACTCTGAGCTATATTCGACCTATACTGCTTATTAAAAAAATTTATATTTTTTTATTGTAATAGAATGCAGACATTTTAAGAATTATTACAACAATTAAAAATTCTACAATAAAAGTGAATAATATATTAAAGTAATTATTATTTTATTTTTTTTATCATTTTCGCTTCCAACAAAGCTGCAAAGCAGCCACTAATTAGTGTTGGAAGTTACTGGAAGAGAAAAGATGAAGATTGTAGAGCAAGATAACAATTGACAAACGATTTAAAAAATTGCAAATTATATGAATCAGGAAAGCCAGATGAAGGAAGTGAATTCCAAAGAACTGATGTTTGAGGGAAAAAACTAGACAAATAAGAGTTTTTGGTGCACTTAGGAACAGTAACAGAAAAAGGATGAGACTTAATTGAATGACGAGCAACACGAGAATGAATTTTAATAGATGGCACAAGAGATGATAGCTCTTTAGAACAGTGCCCATTATAGTATTTGTAGAAAAGAGAAAGAGAAGCAACATTACGATAATGTGATAAAGGTTGAAGGTTGGCTGCAAGAGCAGGTCCAACTATAATTACAATGCGTTTTTGCACCTTGTCTAAAGGAGAAAGGTTATCATTAGAAGATCCGTCCCAGATATGGCAACAGTATTCCATACAAGGACGGATTTGAGATTTATAGAGATAGAGAATAGAATCCAGAGTAAGAAAGTGTCGAGCTCGATAAAGAGATGCAACTTTAGCAGATGCTAATTTTGCAACGGATTTGATATAAGGTTTCCAAGAAAGATCAGAAGTAAGAGTTAATCCTAGAAGATGAAGGGTAGATGACTCACCGAGTACATTACCATTCATAAATATAGGAAGGTCTAAATTATTGCGATAACGATTGGCTGAAAAAAATTGTGTTTTATCTGAATTAAAGTTCACCAGCCACTGTGAGCCCCATGCTGTAGCAGAAGTGAGATCCTTTTCAAGTTCAAATGGCCCCTGCAAGTAATCAGAGGGAGTTGGCTTCTTATCGTTACAAGAGTAAATGGTAGTATCATCAGCAAACAATGCCACCTTAGTTGTGAGAATATCTGGAAGATCGTTAATGTAAATTAAAAAATATATAGGGCCAAGGATTGAACCTTGAGGAACCCCTGAGGTTACAAAATAAGAAGAGTGCTGTCCATCAAGGACAACTTTTACACTACAATTGGAAAAGGAGGATTCAATAATCTTAAAGATGTTTCCAGATACACCGTAAGAAGAAAACTTATGGAGAAGACCAGCATGCCAAACTTTATCAAACGCTTTAGAAATGTCAAGAATATAAAATATATAATTTATTACATAAAATAAAAGATGTTATTCAATAATTTAGAGTGAAATAACTTTATATTTTATTAGTTTTAGAGTGAAATAACTTTATTTTTTATCAGTTAAATAATTTTATATTTTATCAATATAATTTAGAGTGTAATAATTTTATATTTATCAAACAGTCCAATCTAATCAAAAACATTTGCATTTAAATCAGCACTCTTTTTTAATTTTTATTTTTGTGCAACAACCATGCCATTTAAAAAGCATTGCAGTTTATTATGCAAACAACTATTTTTTAAATAAAAATGACTTTGTGTTTTTCATTTCAGTTAAAATAATAGATTTTAAAGTTGCTTAAGTCAATTTTTAAAAACTTGTAAATATGTTAGGAAATCCAATTTCGATACAAAGCCATAATTTATTGTTGCTTAAGAATGACATTTAAAACAATATATTATCTGGATTTCAGCAATGAGATATGCAGGGATGCAGAGTCCTCAAAAGACTCTGGTTTTATATCTTCATTTTTTTCAGGTCTGTAGAAGCTCTAAATATGTTTGTTGAATTATGATCTGCTATAAGAAAAAAATTGATGAAATTTAATGACTTGGAACTTATAGTTTTAAGGCCTGGAGTCCTGGAGCCCTTGTCACAATTATACCTAGGACTCTGGGTTAAAAAAATGATAGTTCCTCTCACCTAAAAGCCTTATTTTTTCCTATTAGTAGTCCATAAACTTTTTGATATTTTTAGAGCTCCTGGATACCAAAATCTATAAAGAAGTAATCTTTTTGTGACTTTTAAACCTGGAGCCCTTTTTGGGACTCAGGATCCCTGGTGATATAATTATAACCTAAATAATGCATCCAATGGTCCATTGGATGCATTATTTAGGTTATAATTATAAACTTGTTTGTTTTTCAAGTAAAAATCTGCCTTTTCCTAAGTTTTTTACTTTTTGTTTAGATTAATTTTTAAATTCAGTGCTCAAAAAATTTGACAAGTTTTTTTCCTTGAACATCAGTTCTTTGGAATTTGCTCTCTTCATTTTGTTTTCCTGATTCATAATTTTTTAAGTCGCCTGTCAATCGTTATCTTGCTCTATAAACTTCACCTTTTCTCTTCCAGTAACTTCCAAATCGAATAGTGGTTGCTTGCAGCTTTGTTGGACGTAAAGGTGTTAAAAAAAATTACCAAATTAAATTTTTTAGGTATAAATTTATTCTGCAAACTAAACCGATTGCCTAAAAAAAAAACGTATTAAAAAAATTGTTACGAAGCAAAAACGAAAAGCCTTTAATGGTGTCCCACTCTATCCTACATAGAGTACATACATACTTGATAAATAAATGTTTGTTTTTTACAACAAATTTATTTTAAAAACCTATATTAAAAAATTTACAGCTTAAATTAAGATAGATATTTTGCTTATATAATGCCATTGTAATGCCATCAACATTTAATGTTATACACAATATAACTTATCTAAATATATCACATTCCTCAATCCTTTCTTCTGCCCTCCTCATGCCCCTAAATATTCTTATCTTTAGTTCTTACTTTAGTTCTTATCTTTAGTTCTTACTTTTTATTTAAGAGGGAAGATTAAGAAAAAAACCTCATTCTTAAAAATATAGAGTGAATTTTTTTTTTTTTTTTTTTTTTTTTTCTGCTGATTTGAAACATAAAGCCCCAAAACACTGATTTTGACAAATAAAGCCACTGAAAGAAAAACAAATTGGGCAGGGTAATTATGGGTAAATGATGGGTTTTAACTGCACTTTACAACTTTAGAATTACTTCAAACCCTTGGTAAAATATAAAAGACAAATAAAAATTACCCTAATTACTATCTCTTTGCATTAATAACAAAATCTTTGTTTTGCAATTTATCACTATTAAATTATATCAAATTTAAATTACAAACTAAAAATTAGTAGAATATTTTCAACCACTTTGATAACCATCAAATAATATAAAAATAAAATCAGATTAAAGTACCTGAGAAAAGTTATTGAGAAAACCCATTCTTCTTGAAGTAGTCATGTGATCTTTTCTTGTGATTTCTGTAAGAAGGTATTTCATGTTTTCGGCTACATCTAAAGTATCAAAAAAATTATTAATAATAAAGTACAGAACATAATTTTAAAAAACCAATTTTAAAGTCGCAATACTTAATAAGAAAAAAATGGCTATAAAAATAAGGAAAAAAAATGGTGCTATATAAATTAAAAACAACCTCGTGATAAATCCAGTGGAGGAGCTTCTTCAGCATTTTGAGGATCAGTCTTTTGAGCTATTACACACCATTAATTAAATTAAAACAAATTTATTTCAATAATATAAAATTATAAGATATATCAAAAGTTAGAGTAAACTATAAAAAAAATTTATTTACATATATTTTTATTTCTATGATTTTTTTAATAATTAAAACCTTAGGTTTTTCCATGTTAGATTATAAAATGTTAGAATTGTGATAATTATCCACACTTGTTAAAATAGTTATTGTAAAAAAAATACTTTTATTTTTTAATTATTAAATAGTAATTAAAAATTAAAATTTTCTTCACAAAATCCTATTTGTAATGGGATTTTGTGAAGGTTATTACAGATTTGGGTAACTCTCTGAATTTTTTCTTGTATGATAGTTACTAATTTTACAAAATTGTACAAACAGGGTTCAATTTTTAAACTTAAGCTAACAAAAAATTAACTTCCTAGCACTATGGGACAGAAACGCTTCAATCAATTTTCTCTAATGGGCATAGAAAATGGCCTCGGCATAAGGGTTTAGAATAAAATAATAGTTATTATTTTATTGTAAATCCTTATTCCGAGGACAAAAAATTAATTAAGAGCAATAATTGTGTTTGTATTATCAAGTAGATACATAAATAAATAAGCTTTTTTTTCACGTTTTTCAAAATAAGCATTTTTATTTTTCACCGTTAACTCTCTCTCTCTCTTTCTCTCTCCTGCTCCCCATAAAAATATGTCTGTGGATGCACATGGTAGATACCCTTGCTAGTGTTAAGATACCTCTGCCCTTTTTTTATTTCTTATAATATGTGCAGTCAACACATTATACTATGTTTAAAATGTAGCTCAGCAGTGTGGGTTGAACAGAAAAAGTAAAAATTAAAGTTATGTAAATTATAAATTATGGTATCCGGTATACCATCCATCCATTAGAGTTTTATTTACATTTTTATGAAAAGTAATTCTAAGACTACTTGTTTATATAATAGCATGTTTAACAACTATTTTATTAACTTTCATGTGTTTTGCAGATGGTGGTGGCTAAAGGAGGTGGTGGTGTAGCTGGTGAAGGCTATTTATTTTGATTGTTGGCAAGATAATTTTACAGGAACCTTAAAAATAGATTTATTTTTTATGACTAACAATGGCAGGAAACACAGGTTTAAGTTAAAGTTATGCAGCCTAATTGACTATTTTTAAATTTCCACATGTTTATAAAAGAAAGTGTGTCATTTGAAAATCCCATCAAGGTTGTAGGAATGAGAGATTTAAAGAAGTTGGAACAGAAGAAAAGAAAAAAATGGAGCTTATAAATTTTAACATAATTAAGTGAAGAATATTGCAAGACTGTTACAATAATAATTGACTACAATCAAAAAGTCACCAGCACCCATCAAAAAGGGACAACTTTCTGATTGGGATGAAAACTTATTTCCATTCAAGATTGAAATATACAGTTGATAAGAAACAATCTAAGACCTAGGATGGAACTTTGCTTTAATTTTAAGGATTCTAGAAAAGATCAATATTATTTGTTAATAGGGTTGTCATTGTCAAAGTTTTTCTGTAGGAAAACACAATCAAAATTTTAATTTTAATTAGTTTAGAGCTGCGCACTCCTACATAAAAACCAGGGCAATCGTCACCCTATTGGTTAAAAATAAACTAAATGCTGCAACTAAAGTTGAAAGGTTTAATTAGTTTGAAAATCTTTACTGATACACCATATAATTGAGCTTATGAAGAAGATAAGCATGCAAGACTTGCAACAGATTAACAGCTATAGTCTCAGCACTTCTATCATCGAAAAATACTAAATAATATCGTGACCGCATGCTGAATGAATAAATGAGAAAAAGACAGAAACAGTATTAAAAAAACTAAAATGTACACAAATGTATATAAACACAAAAAATAAAATAAAAACTAAAAAAAGAATAAAAGGATAAGTTCCAAGTTTATTCAGAAGGAGTTCATTGTTAGATTTTCTTTTGCTAGTGATACTAATAAAGATTTAAGATATCTGATAAATGAGTTTTGGCTTTAAATTTCTATGACAAAATATAAAAATAGAAATACTTGGGTTTTTGGGGATTTAAACAATTTCTGGTGACCCAAAAAAGTTGATATCCCTATAGTGTAAAAAATATTTATTTTTTTACCCTCAATATGGTCATCTGATAACCAAAAGTTATTTTACTTAATTATGAATTTAAATTTGACATGTAAATGTTTACTCTTAAATTATGATTAATAAGAGATTATAAAATAACGACTAATTCAAAAGTTATACAATATAACTTACCAAACTGAAAACTGTTGACACTTCTCCGTTTGAATTTCTTCATTATTAGACCTTTATATGTATATATATTTTATGTATATTTTATTTCATGATTTTAACCTTTGAAAAATATAGTTTGCATATTTACAACTTGTAAAAAAATAATTAATTTAAAAAATAAATAAAATAAATGACAGGTCTATTTGATCAGTATGCATATTTCATCTTTTGATGTTATACTATATGCAATTAGCCCTTTGAATCTAAACTTATGGTTAGAAAGTCATTCTTACAGAGTTAGACGCTAGGACATTTTTCTATTTTAGGCAAAATTTTACTCAACTTACACTTTTTTTTTTTTTACTTAATTTAAATGTTTTTTTTTACTCAAAAAGAAAATAAAACCCCATTAACTTGAATTAAAAATAAGACTTACAAAATCTCCTAACTAAAAAAAAAAAACAGATGCACTTAACTAGCTTATTTGAAAAAATATATACTAACTTTAGAAACAACCTAAATTGTGCTTCTGATTGATGTATTTTATTACCTACTAATACTACTTACTACTTTACTAAAACTAAAAATTAATAGTTTTAACTAAAAATTCATAATCAAAAAATATATTGTTATAATATATAATGTTAGATTTTATTCTAATTTAAATACACAAAATCTGCAAGTTGATCGTATTTTTAATTAAACAATTTTTCAAAAAGCAATCATTACTTATATAGTTTTATAAATCAACGTTATATAAACTTATATTTATCAAAATTATTTAAACGTTAAAAGAAAAATAAACTTCTTTATAAGTTTCATAATTTAATCAAAATTTTGTTCATTTAAAATTGAATGAAAAGCCGATTAGTGCATGAAATTCAAATTAGACAAATTAGATTGTTAACACCATTTCAATTTTCAACTTTTATCTGAAGACTATAATTTATGTTAAAAGATTCGAATAATATCATATAGTATTGATCGCAGGCTACTTAAAGGATTTGTTTTAGATTGTTTCAGAGATAAGGTAAATTTTTTACTTTTCAAATTTTTTTTATTGGACTCAACTCAAGCAGAACGTAAGACTAGATTTTCTAGAAGTAACTAAAAATTTCTTATCGTGACTTTGTAAATGTGATAAATATGATCACAGCGGGTTGTTCATAAAACAAATAAACACGGTTAGCACGGATCCTTATAATGCCTACCAAGCTGTCCCAAGAACGCCACTTAAACGTTAGTTATACGTAAAGTTAGCGTAGACATTAAGGTATCCCTGTGATGCAAATTTTGAAATCATTTAATTTTGTCCACGGAAAATAATTTAATTTAAATGTTCCAATTAAATCAAACTTTGACTTCATAGTGCGCCAATAAAAACACTTTTAGAATTTGAACCACTCAATATAATTTGATAAAAATTGGTGCAAATGTAGCCAATAGTCACACCAAACTCTGGACAAAATTTCAGCCTGATTGGATGACTGGTGTAGGATTTATTGCAGTTTTAGTTGAAGTTTTGTCAGGTTTTTGCTACTTATACCTCAAAGCGTTACCGTTTACTTTGAAATTCGGTCACTAATTTTAAAATAACGGTAACATGAGTGTTCTACTATGTAATACCAACAATTTTTGTTTTAACAATTTTATCGGTACATCTACAGTTTTCATTTTATAGACCAAATTAGTGATTTTCCACTTAAAGCGTGATTTAAATAGTCTTATGCTAATAGTATCGACACGGCCTTCAAAGTGGAAGGGGTCAACTCCTCAATTTCTATAATAAAATCCATAATTTCTAAAATAATTGCCTATAAAACCTTGTTAAAGGACTACCAGTTAGTAAAACAAACAAAAAAAGTAGATCTCCTAAAATATTTTGTATTGAATAAATACAAAATATTTTAGGAGATCTACAAAATAAAATAAAATATTTATCCATAAATACATTTATTTTTAAAATTAAGTGAAAACTATTTAAACCCTATTTTTTACATTGTATTACCATCAAATATGTACATAAATGTGTACATCAAATATGTACATAAAAGTGCGAACAATAACTCACCGCGAAGGGACGTGTTTTAAAATATATATATATTTTTTTTTTTTTTTTTTTTTTTTTTTAAAAAAAAGTATTTTAAAACACATCTGTTCGCGGACTTTTTTTTATTAAATATTTTTATTAAATATTTTTATTAAATATTTCAAGACACGTCCGTTCGCGATCGTTTTTTTTTTTGTTTTTTTTTTTAAAAAAACAAAAATGTCTAAAGGATTATCATTTATTCAAATTAAAGAATTACTTGAAGTGCACGAGAACACAATATTAAAAATCTTTGGCGAAAAAGTTAACAGGATGGAGGAAAAAATGAAAGTACTTAAAAGCGAAAATTTAATTTTAAAAAAAGAAATAGCAGATATTAAAAATGCAATGACTTTTCAAAATGAAAAGTATGAAAAAGAGACAAAAGAATTATACGACTTTAAAGAACATCTTAAACACAACACGAAAGAAAATGAAAAAGCTTTTAACAATGAAGAATTTAAAGATAAACTTGCGGAAATTGAAGACAGAAGCAGAAGAAATAATATACGATTTGATGGCTTTGAAGAGAAGAAAAATGAAACGTGGGAGGAAAGCGAACTAAAGTTAAAGTTTTCTTAAAAGAAAAGCTTGGCATGACGAACGAAGTATATATCGAGAGGGCTCACAGAACAGGAAAAAAGAATGAAGTTGGAATGAAAAAATCGAAGAACTATTATTGCAAAATTCTTAAACTATAAAGACAAAGAAAAGGTTTTAAAAGAATACCGATTACTCAAATTATGGAACGAAAAAATATTCTTGAATGAAGATTTTAGCGAAAGAACAAGAGATAAACGGAAACTTCTTTTTTTTAAATTTAAAGATATTCGAGCCACCGGTAAGTATGCTAAAGTAGTATACAATAAATTAGTTACACGCGAATTTTAAAAGAATTAATTTTTTTTATTTTTGGATTTCAAATAACTAAAATGGATTTAAACGAACCTGTTGATTTTCAATCAACTTTAATTAACTTATTTCAAACTAATGATTTTTTACTGGACAGCAATAATGACCCTGACCTAAACTATTTTAGTGAAGCTGGTGCTTTAAAAAACAAGTGCAGTTATTTGTATGTCCATGAATTAGAAAAATTTCTTGAACCGGATAAGTTGAATGTGATTCATATAAATATAAGAAGTTTGAAAAAAAACTGAAAATTTTCGTAATTTAATTGATGAAACTTTTAACATTTTTAGCGTAATTTGCTTAACAGAAACTTGGTGTGATTCTGATGACGTTTATTTTATTTCTAATTTTAACTTGCCTGGATATAAATTGATTTCATTAGCGCGTAAAACCAATAAACGTGGTGGCGGCGTGATTATTTACGTAAAGGAATGCTTAAAATTGTTAACCAGGCTTGACATGAGTATCTCTGATAGCAATAAAGAGGTTTTATCAATTGAATTAATTATTAAAAAAGCTGAATATATTTTACTTAGTTGTTGTTATCGCCAACCATCTGGTGTAATTACTTTATGATATTATTAAAAAAACCAATCATGAAAAGAAATTTAACTACTTAGGGTAAAGCGGGACATTAAGCCCCATGGGGCATTAAGCTCCATTTACTCCGTTGATAAAATAAAATGCCAAACGTTATTGTATTATAAGAGAGGGACATTAAATTTTACATCATAGATACTAACTAACCAATCAGGGAACCTTTCTCAACAGTAATTGGGCTTCTAACCAACGGCATTGATATTTAATTAGAATTTATAGATGAGTGATTTTTCTATCTAGTTTTCCGTTTTCTTCAAACTTGTTGAAAAACTTCCGTTAAAATAGCGCGTATTTGTTTTGACTTAAAATACAAGTACATATAAATGCGCGCTTGTTTTGACTAAAAATACAAGTAAATATAAACTAAGTAAGTACTATTTTTATCTTTATAACTATCTGCGTATGTAATCAATGACTTAAAATACTAATATTTCTAGAGCAAATTAAGGAAAATTTTAACAAAGTAAAATGGCCGTTAGATGAATGTCTAAGAAATTGTTTATAAATAGCTCCAAAATTCACTTTATTGAGAAATATGATTCTTTTGATTATTAATTAGTTTAATTAGTTTATAAAAATTATTTTTTTAATTAGCAGGGGCTTAATGCCCCCAAATGCCAAAAGGGTGATTAAAACAACCAAATAAAATTGATCAGATAAATAAAATCAATGTTTTAATTTCAAAAACATTACACAGTTATAGTTTAAATTGAAAACAAAAGTTATTTATTTTTAGAAATAGTTCAATACTGTTTTAAATATAGTTTTGTTAATGGAGCTTGTTGCCGCTTTATTTAGCAAAATGGTTCGAACATACAAAAAGAGAGAGGAACAAGGAAGAAAGTTGTATGCAACTAGCCAAGCAATGATAGGTGCCTACAATTCCGTCATATGTAAGCAGATGTCTGCCAACCATTCTTCCATGCATTATGGAGTTGATAAAAAGGCTTTTTTGAGAGTACGAAGAGTACGAGGGGAAATACAAATAAATTCTCATCCAGGGAAGCGAGCTGTTTTAACATCTAAGCAAGAAGAAGAACTGGCAGACTGCCTTATTGTGTTAGCTGAGTGGGGTTGGGGTTTTAGTAAAGAGGAGGTAAAAGATATAATACAGGAATTTGTAAAAGAAAATGGTATTGATGTTCCTTTCATCAATGGTCAACCAAGTAGGGACTGGTTGTGTGGCTTTTTGCAATGCCATCCGAAAGTAGTTCCAAGGAAAACAGAACACCTCAGAAATGCGAGAGCCAAGGCTGAAGACCCTGAAGTCATTAAGAAATGGTTTCAGCTGGTCCAGAAAACTCTACAAGATGCTAAAGTTATCTGCCTACCAAGTCAAATATTCAACTGCGATGAAACAGGTTTTGTCACTGACCCAAAAACCCAAGTTGTGTTAGCAGAAAAAGGTGCTTCTAGAGTAACTCAGAGCATTGGTGGCTCAGTACGCAAGCAAATAACTGTAAATTTTGCATGCTCTGCAAGCGGCCAGATACTGCCACCTTATGTTGTGTACAAGGGAAAAAATTTG